TGAATTACAGAAAGTGTGCAATAATTGTCTAAACAAAATTAGGCAGGTGCATAAATTTGGGCACCAAAAAAAAAACCTTAACTCAATATTTAGTAGATCCTCCTTTCGCAGAAATAACAGCCTCTAAACGCTTCCTATAGCTTCTAATGAGAGTCTGGATTGTGGCTGAAGGTATTTTAGACCATTCTTCTTTACAAAACATCTCTAGTTCATTCAGGTTTGATGGTTTCCGAGCATGGACAGCTCTCTTTAAGTGACACCACAGATTTTCAATAATATTCAGGTCTGGGGACTGAGATGGCCATTCCAGAACATTGTACTTGTTCCTCTGCATGAATACCTTAGTAGATTTTGAGCAGTGTTTAGGGTCGTTGTCTTGTTGGAAGATCCAGCCCTGGCGCAGCTTCAGCTTTGTCACTGATTCCTGTACATTGATCTCCAGAATCTGCTGATATTGATTGGAATCCATGCGTCCCTCAACTTTAACAAGATTCCCAGTCCCTGTACTGGCCACACAGCCCCACAGCATGATGGAACCACCACCAAATTTTACTGTAGGTAGCAGGTGTTTTTCTTGGAGTGCTGTGTTCTTTTTCCTCCATGCATAACGACCCTTATTATGCCCAAATAACTCTATTTTAGTTTCATCAGTCCACAGCACCTTATTCCAAAATGAAGCTGGCTTGTCCAAATGTGCTTTAGCATACCTCAAGCGGCTCTGTTTGTGATGTGGGCGGAGAAAAGGCTTCCTCTGCATCACTCTCCCATACAGCATCTCCTTGTGTAAAGTGCGCCGAATAGTTGAACGATGCACAGTGACTCCATCAGCAGCAAGATCATGTTGTAGGTCTTTGGTGCTGGTCTGTGGGTTGACTCTGACTGTTCTCAACATCCTTCGCTTCTGTTTATTCGAGATTTTTCTTGGTCTGCCACTTCGAGCCTTGACTTGAACTGTGCCTGTGGTCTTCCATTTTCTCACAATGTTTCTCACAGTGGAGACTGAAAGCTGAAATAGCTTTCTGTATCCTTCCCCTAAACCATGACGGTGAACAATCATTGTTTTCAGGTCATTTGAAAGTTGTTTTGAGACTCCCATGCTGCGACTCTTTAGAGAAGATGCAAAGAGGAGAAAAACTTACAATTGCCCCCCTTAAATACCCTTTCTCATAATTGGAGTCACCTCTGTATGGAGGTCAAGGGTCACTGAACTCACCAAACCAAATTTGAGTTCCAATAATTAGTTCTAAAGGTTTTGAAATCAATAAAATGACAACAGTGCCCAAATTTATGCACCTGCCTAATTTTGTTTAGACAATTATTGCACACTTTCTGTAATTCATATAAACTTCATTTCACTTCTCAAGTATCACTGTGTTTGTCCCCTATATGATATATTTAACGGATTTTTTTAATCCAAACAATCAATGATTTATAAAGGTAAATCAGGAAAATTAACAAGGCTGCCCAAACCTTCCCACCCCACTGTATATATATATATATATATATATGCGCATACACTGATCAGGCATAAAAATCGATTCTTAGATTCATAGCGATGCGGACGTGGACGATTCTGAATCGATTCATTCAATGTCAAAAATCGTTTTTCTAAATGTTTAAGTTATAACGTAATGTTGACGGAATGCAAAGGCGGAACTTGGAAGTGTGGAAGTGCAGCGCCCGGACAGTCTGTGGCAGCACATAACAAAAACACTACTGGATGAGTAAGAAATTTGACCGGCACCCTCTGCATTAAAGCCAGGTTAGATCAGGAGTCACGACACAAATGATATGAAGAGCCATTTTGTCCTTTCAACAAAAAACAAACCACCTTGGGAGCCACAACATTTTATGTCCAGTATGTCTCAGTATGTGTTAATGTCCTAGTATAGACTAAACAAAATAAACGAAAATGCAGACTTACTCTACTCTGCTTTAAGCTTTAGCTATAGTCGCTTTTCTTCCATCTCCGCCAGAAAACTTTTCCTCAAAAGTTGAAGAGTTTCCTGTAAAATGTTTTTCAGCTTTCGGCTGTTTTACGAGGTTGAAGTCGCTTCTCATTCGCAGCTTCTTGCTGAACTTTCCCGTTCCACCTTAAATTCTGACTGAGGTAAACGCGGCACCATTTAAGGTGGAACGGGAAAATTAGAAAGAGAACAGACTTCATCTTCGCAACTTTTTAGCGTTTGACAGTCTTTCGTTGCAGATTTAACGTATCAGGAAACCAACTACGTTGCTTATAAATGCGAATAAGTCCATTCGTCTCCAAATGTCCGTCTTTCTCTTTTCCTTTTTCGTTCGCTGCTAGCGCGGCAAAACCTCGTCGCTAGGTGACCTGCAGTCTGCACGCCAAATCTCAGTCGTTGAGAAACAGGGCTTTCGCGCTATGTTGCACACGCCCTGTCTCGAAGATATTTTACTGACATAGTGACATACTGACACATTTTGCAGTACTTAATCTTGCACTGATCTATTTCTGTTTTCCTCAAAGATGCCACAAGAAAGCCAAAACGTAAGTGGGAAGACTCAGAGGTACGTGCAGTAGAGCGACACCTGATGAGATTCATCCAGACGGTAAAGTGCCTCAGAAGCGAGAGTGCCTCCAGTGTTTACTCACAGAATCGCATGCACTAAGAGAGCGGTCATGGACAGATGTGAAAAATTTTCTAAGGAACAGAAGCATCACCTTGAGGAAACAGTTCAGCACCTTGTTAGTGTAAAATGGTGTTAATGGGGAAAAAAGCCTTGTTCTGCTGTTTTATGTATCTTATGTTTGTAGATTATCCTTGCTGTTAGAACAAAACCTTGTATCCCCAAATCACGTCACGATGCTTCAGAAGAAGGAAAAATGCCTTTTACGTTGTCAAAGAAACTTAATTTGATGAGATTCTATTCCAAATAGTTTTAGACCATTTTATTTTAGTTCAGTCATCACAAAATATTTACACAATGTAAGGCGCTTTTGAATGATATAAAACATAACAATTGGGGTAACAATTGAGTTATAAGAATTATAAGTTTTGATTTGCCAATAAAGATGTTTGTATATTGGTATAAACTGCTACATATATCATTTTTACTATTGCAGTTTTGTAAATGAATGCATACAAACATACAGTACTGTGCAAAAGTCTTGTGTATAGCTATTTGGGCAGCATGCGAAGTAAAACTAACTTTAGAATAAATATAAATTGGCATACAGCAATCCATCCTATTCAGTACTTCATTAAATTAAATCAGGTGCTGCTGGTAGAATTTGACACATCCAATCTTCTGGCCAACGTATCGATAACTAAAACCAAACCAGTGTTCCAATGGTGGTCTTCTAGCCAGCGTATCAATAACTTTACTAAAACCAAAGCTGTGTTCCAACGGTGGTCTTCTAGCCAGCGTATCAATAACTTTTCTGACATTTACTGATCATACATAATTCATACGTTTTCTAAGATGCTAGAAAAATCCTTAAATTAAATCAGTTATGGCGCAGACTAGTGGGGCCGAACGATTTGGGCCAAATATCCTTTTGCGATTTTTCTGACCAAGATTGTGATTGTGATTTGTTTTTTTAGGTGTATACACTTTTTCTGTCTTGAGGTTTGAACATAGTCAGTTAACACACCAGACAGACAGTCAATAATGTATTCATGTACACAGCGCATGGGTTGTTTCTGATTGGTTGAACTCATCTAGAGGTGGTTCACAGGCTCTGTGTTATTAGGTTAAATTTTCCCACTTAAAACTAAAACAATTGATAATGTAGGTTATTATTAAAATTGCTGCATTTGCGATTTGAAAATTGCACCCTTTCAAATAGCAATTTCGAGATAAAAACAATTAATCTTTCAGCACTAGAGTAGCATAACCAGATAAAATAGTGATAATTTATCACTAACCTCATGATAATCCTCTTATTTCTCCATGCATAATATCAGGTGTAATGTGCATATATGAAGTGGCTGTATACAACAGTGGCATGCACCTGCCCTTACAGACATGGAAAGATAACTTGGGTCATCGAATTTGCTTTGGCTTATTTTCTCAACCTGTTTAGCTTATTGTGGCAACCCAATTTCGTCTTGTATTCTGTGTTGGGAAGAGTTGAAACTGCATAGAGTTAGTTCCTAGGATTGAGAAATACTGGTCTAGATCTTTATGAATATTAAAGTTCACCGGTATGCAAGGAAGGACAGCATCTAGTAGGGTAATAGCAGTCCAAATTACATTTTAGCTTGGTTTTATTATTATATTAGGCTGCATACTACATACGGCTCACATGCTGATTGTGGCCAAAAATAGTATGCAGTGACTATCATCAGTTTTTCCAGTAAGCCAAACATACCTGGATGACGTACTGCTCAGGCAAATATACCAGTATGCAACCAGTGCTACCTTCATGATATAATGCATCCCAAATGCAGCATCTTCATTTCAGGACGATGTTACCACTGCAACGTAACCACCACGACATAACAACAATGTACCTGCCAGGATAGCCTTCATTTTTTCCCTATGAATACATGAATGATGGCTAAATGAAGAAAAAAATGCTACTGCTTATTGCTCAGCCTAAATCTTAAAAGATCTTAGACCCTCTGAATGTACTCCAAAGAACAGATGATTTTGATAATAAAAAAGCATTACTGCAGGAGGATTCCTTCACCTGTCCCCAAAGTTGAGTGAAGGTGTTCAAAAGTGACTTTTATCAGAGTTTGTGTATGTGTATGGAATAGGTCCCCAAATGTGTCCTAAAAAATACTTGTCCCCAAATGTCACGTTGGTCAAAACATGCTTGAATCAAAAATATCAAGTGATTTTTGTGTTACTGAGGCATTTTGGAGCAGAACTGTGTTGTCAGCTTTTCTCTAACTCATTCAGAAAGGGGTGTCCCCGCGGTGGGGGCTTTCTGTCATACGACCTCAAATGTGTCCTAAGACAGTATGTGTGTGTGTGCGTGTGCGCGTGTGTGTGTACACATGGGTTTGTTTGTTTGTTTGTAATACCTGTGGGTCAGACTTGCTGGGTCTCTGCTCCACGCTGTAATACTTGCAGGGATTCCACTGCACCATGGGAGGATTCTGGGTCGACTGTGGCCCATTTGGAACACTCAGCTGCATCACCATGACACCTGGACCAGGGGGTGGCACGCCTGAACACACATACACACACATACACAAACAAATACACACAAACAAACAGCGATATTTCACTGAACTCAAACACCAGTTCAGAGAAAATCTGGTCCAAAAGTTTATTGCTACGTGCCCTTATTCAGTCACATTGATCGCACTTACTGTAGACAGAGCACAGCTGTATTCACCAGAAACTGTCTGGATATTAACAACAGGTGAAGCAAACTGCGCTACTGTGCAGACGTGTCTATGTTGCTTTTTATACAATTTTTTATTCGACTACCTAAAATATGACGGACAGTGTACAAAGACAATTAAAGGGCACAGCAATCAGTTTCATCAGGCTAAAGGGGGTGAAAGGTAAAAGTAGCTATTTGTGGCAGAGATCACGGCAATGACCACTATTACTTCATTCACTTTACAAGGTCAGCAGGTGTCGTACAAAAGTTCACAGCAAGAGGTTGTACAAACTATTTATACAGCGATCTCAGGCGCCAAGAGTCAATACAGACTGATTTTATACCGTTCAGAAAAAGACTTCAAGCTAAAGTTTTTGTCTTAAGTGGACTGTAGTGTTGCTCGTCTCTAGGCTCCATCATCATGATCAGCAAAGCGCTGGATATTACACTGACTTTTCAACAAGGAAAAAAAAAACTACAGATGTCTTACTAATCATAAAATCAGAGTTTCACAAACAGTGCCAGAGAGCAAGTATCATGAAGAGAAAACTTTTTTGGGGGAAAAAATACAACACACAAACAGGGGCTCAGCAGTCCCTAGAGAAAAAGAGCAGATGTGTACAGAATCCACATGAACAGCAAACAACCAAAAGGTAAACAATATGAGCCAAAAATAGTGTGCCTGCTACACGAGATAAGCTGTGCTGAAATAACAGAACATCATCTCATTTTATTAATCCGCATTTCATTAATCAGCTGATGTTAATCTACATTCATTCTTGGGAATAAACCAAACACCTTGACACAGCTCACTCTACTGGAACAATGACCTTTTTTTTGTTCAGTAACAAAATATGCTCTCAACAGGTATGTAATTTATAACTAATTTTAATATTTGACTATCCCAACAGTTAATGAACGCATATTTAGTTGGGAAGGGAAAAAAATGGGCTTTAGCAACATACTTAGGCTCTCGTGAGTTCTTATTAGAAAGTTGTACAACACACTATAACACACTATAACACAGAAGTTTAACACACTATATTCACATAAAGGAGAATTCCACTGATTTTTCAATATTTCTGCATTATTAAATGCTTAAGTTTAATATGAAATGCTGTGTTTTAGAGAAACTTACCAAGTCAGAATTGTGCAGAGTGGTAGTGATAGTTTTTTTGGTTTGTTTGTTTGTTTGTTTGATAGGGACCAGACGTCTGCCAAGTTTAATGCCTCTAAAACTCCCTCACAGAAAGCTATTACATGAAATGGTATATATTTTCAAAAATCAATTCATGGTGAAGAGGTATAAAATGGATGTTGTGAGGCAAAACTGTCCCCAAAGAAAATGCACCACAATTTTACCATCATCAACATTACATATATAAACTCAGAAGACACTTATAGAATCACTGGTGGTTTTGGACAGTAAATAAAACGGTTATATTTGCATTGTAGATTCCTCGACCTCTGGATCAGTAAGTTTCTCTATAATGAACCATTGCACATCCAACCACTCTGATGATGTTGTTTACAACTCAACCATTGAATTATCCAAAAATTCTGAAAAATCAGTGGAATTCTCCTTTATCTACTCTTAAATATGAGCAAAGATGTCACAATTCACGAATATAACACTGTTTCACTTTTCCCCAACTTTCCGTGACTCAGCATTACAAACACCAAAAGTATTTAAATACTGGCACCTACAATGGTTAACGAGTACTCGGGCATCTATGCACTCAACTAATTCTCAACATCCCACCATGGTCAGTGTTGGAGACTGTGTATGTGTTTAAGGCCTCTGTAAATGGAACGTTGTAGATGTTTTGGAAAAGACTCTCCAATTGGTGCTGTATGATGTGGCCTACAAAACGATACTGTTTCAAACAATTAAATATTAAAAGACTTTTAAATTAGCTATTTGTGAAAGGAAGTGTTTAGTATTTGTGTTACACACAAAAAAAAATTATAAAAACTAGAAGTTTCTTTAAATATCAACTTGTGAGCATGTACATTACTAACATGAACTCATAGTGATAACGTAAAATGCTATTGTGTGGAACATACACATCAGGATACACATCAGAGGTCTTACAACATTTTTAACCTCTGATTGGTGATAAAACACGTATAGAGAGCAGTGGTCATTAGAAGCTATCAAGTACTGGCATCTAGGAAGCAAAAACGCTAATCAGCTACTCTGGCTAGTTGATAGTTCACTTAAGCAATAGAACACGAGAGGGAGTGTGTTATTGCGAAATAAGATGTTATACACGATAACACACGACCTTAAGTGTTTTATTACTTTTATACAACAGTTAAATAAATAAAGTAAGAAATTAATAAATTGGGCCGTGAGTGTGTAATTTAATATGTTTTAATGTCTGATGTCTTTAATGTCTTTTAATGGCTCAGTCCGATTTGGTCAGACACTGAAGATGAGACTACACGTTTGGCGAATGGTATTTGGTTCATTTCTGGCTGATTCCAGGTTGTTTAGGTTCTTCTGTCACAGCTGCCGACTGAAAAGCTGCTCAGTGGTAATGACAGTTTCAGAATTTAGTGTAATCTCATCCTCAGAGTCTGACCAAATGTGATCTTAAAAGTATCCATTTTCTGTTTGTGGCGAAGTAAGAAGTAAAAACGTTAAAATGGCTTGAGCGTCTCCTACAGCTGTCAAACTCGTTGTTTAGCAACAGCGTCTCAGCAGAGTGAAACAGTGTTTGTGAAAAACCGTGATGTTATGGTGAAATATCAGCACAGTTAGAACACTTCTCAACCAATCAGCTTGCGTGGCCGGAACTAACTGCTGTATAATTAGCAAATGCATACAATGCACCAAACAGACAAATTATTAGTTGCAATTACTTATATGGTGATTAATCGTCAGCTAAGATGTCATGATCGTGACAGGCTTGGTTCTGGTACCTGAATACTGCTGTTGTATCTGCTGAGGGCTGCAGGGGGAAGGAGACTGGGTCATCTGGTACTGATCTGAGCTGGGAGGCTGCAGGTAGCCCACAGATGGACTAATAAACACAAACACACAAAAACACACTGTAATTTCAGTCAAACAATCTTGTTACTCTGTACTCATCATCCTCATATATACACCTCATTGCCTTATTATATGTGTGAATTATGTTATTATGTTCAGAAGGTTTTGTGTAGGTGCTGTGTATTGAAGTTATTGTTACCTTGTGCTGTTCTGTTGTGCAGGAGTCAGGACGCTGTAGTAGACTGGCATGGGCGCAGCGGTTGGCATAGCACCCTGTACAGACTGGCTGACTGGCACCATGACAGGCTGCTGGTACTGCTGCTGCACCACAGGCTGGGTTTCATTAGCTACGGCCACCTGAGATCAGCACAGAAACATTACACAAACACATATCATTAAACAATTACAGACACAGGCACATTACAGTGCATTACAGTGTAAACGTGTAAATAAGCACACTACCTGATAGGAGGGCATGGGTGTGTACTGGACCATCATGCCTTGCATCTGTCCGCTCATGCCTGCACGCTGAGTGTTCATTATACTGGCACTTTGCGGCTGCTGAACTCCCATCATGCCCTGGTACGCTGGCTGCTGACTAGCCATCATGGGCTGGAGAGGAGCTGATTGGACAAATAAAAAGTGGGAGGCACAGGTTTAAACACCTCAGCATACCACTGGCCATAGCCTCTGAGTGAACATGAAATACAGTCAGTAAAGAAAATTCCTGATCAGAATTATAGAAAAGCTAAGCAATATGAACAGACATCTTATTACAATATATTTTTTCCTATGATTCAAGTTCAATGATTACTAAACATGCTTAATTTAGCTAAATTAATTTTTGACCCTGAAGAAAACAAAAAGCATGTTTTTTTGAATTTGGAGACCTCTCTGGTGGAAACGTGCAATCGCGTGGATGAACATTTTGTAACGACAGTTAGGCTTTGGGCCCCTTCTTCAACAGGATTAATCTGATGATTGCGAGCTGAATATTATTGAAAATGCCTCATATGCGCATCATCGATATTGAAAAAAAAAAATGTGATCATTACTGTAGCGTCTTACTGCAGAGGTATACATTACAGTATTGAGGATACAGAATACTGAGACATACTGGTCTAACAAATCAAAAAGGAGGTGACTGAACAAACTAAGTTTCATGACAAGCAAAAACAAATCTTATAAATACACTGAATGACCACTGGATGTTCTTTTCCAACAAGACTAGGTAAGCCTAGTTTTGTCAGACCAACAGGCTGCACACTCTCTCCTCTACAACTTCTGGTAAATAACACCAGGGGCATAGCAGATATTTTAAAAGTGAGGGGGACACAGATGTCAGTACATGACACTTCTCAAACTCCACACCCCACACTTGCAGGTTCAGTTTTACTATTATAAAGCCTGTAGTAGCATCATGTGCATTTTTATAGTCAAGCCAATTTGAGCGCTTGGGGTAGCCAAATACAAACATAGCCCACAGGGAAGTTAACCAGCTCAGAAACATGTGGCCCAAAATTAGGCTTTCAAAGCTAGTAAGACTTAAAGATTGATTTCATCGAAATTGCAATTTCCCAGAGTTTAATTTTCAAATCGCAAAAGCTGCAATTTTCTACAATTGTAGCCCATGTCATCAAAACTGTTGCCTTAAGCTTTAAGTGGAGAAATTTAACTGAATAACACAGAGCTTGTGGATAAGCCAATCAAAGGCAATCAAACCTCCATGTGTTGTGACAACACAACAACAACTAACTAGCAGTCTAGCACACTACAATCAGCGGTCAAGCCTCAAGCCAGAAAAGGTGGATAATAGGGACACATCGGTACCGATGCTGGTATTGAGTATTGGGCCCATACTGTGCTCATTTGCTCATACTTAAAAAACTTTAACGATACCAACATTCCGATACCAGCTAATACTATGTGATGTAAGCTGAGTGTTCACTTCCGTGCTACTAAATAAACGACTCAAGCTGGCACTGAAGGAGGCTCTGCTCACACAGAGAAGCTTTACTGACACGGCGGTCAAACACAAAGGTCACTTTAAACATTTCGGCTTGGCATATTCCTGTCAGGCCTACACTGTGTGATTTTAGCCCAATTTAAACACACAATCACAGCTGCTTCCCTAATACGGGCGGAGACATGCAGGCCAGCCAAACGGACGCGAAGTCGACATTTGCTACCAAAGTTCATCTGTGCAACTTTACTCTGTTTGACTAGAATAGCAAGGTATAATTGCTAATACAGTGATATCTTTTGGTAAAATAAGCTGTAGACAGACCGTATTGTCCTACCCATGTACACCCACACCTGGCTTACAGTTTCAGTGCGCAGTGTTAGCAGCGCTGCTCTCAGTGTTTCTGTTCCATTAGCTGGCTGCTGGGTGGGAAAATAGGCTACTTAATTGACCATTTAAACAGGAATGCAGTATTAACTACCATTCATTAAAAGTTCACTTATATAGCCAATAATGGGGCTCCTCTTCTTGCTACTTCTGTGTTGTGTAGTTCAATTAACTGTTCGGGCACCGTTTTAGATAAAAGGTTAATTGTTTTCTTGTTAAAATCCAAATACTTTGAACTTTAGAATAACAAATGCCCATTCCTAGTAATAAAATTCTGCTACTCTGCATTTAAGGTGGCTACGCTATGTGTTCTTTTTTTCTTTAATTTCCCACTAACGCCGATTTAACATGCTCAACTATCTGAAAAAGAGCGGACAAGGAGCTGCTGAAGCCCCTCAGCTCACACTAAACTTTCTGTCGGCTCACAGCAACATATAGCATAATATTTCCAGCAAGGACACACACCCACATGAAACACAACAGCCTCAGCTTACCTAACGACACCATGAGAAGACGGCTCCCGAGACTTCTTCTTTTGGATGAATGGCAGTTGGCAGGCTAACTTAGGGTGCATTACCACGACCTACTGAGGGCTAGCTAAACTCCTTGCGCATACGTATTTCAACAAAGTTGTCAGTCAGTCAGTGAGTGAAACTGCCTCTTCCTATGAGTTATTAACCCTGTATGCAGTTGTCCTTCCACAGATTTCATAAATGTGCTTATCTAACGTATATTATGCATTCTGAAGACTTAAATACCAGATGATTAGTGAGTAGAGAGAAAAGAAGTGTCCAACAGAGTAGTGTAATGGGAAGAACTGACCGGAGGGCTGCGTTGGTGGAGGGAGGGGCTGAGAGCGCTGAGCAGGGTACGACACCTGGTGGGATATGGACCTGTACTGCTGCCCTGAACTCGGATACTGCCCACCAGCTGAGTAATACTGCACCTGGATCTGTGAGAGAGAGAGAGTGAGAGAGAGAGAGAGAGAGAGAGAGAGAGAGAGAGAGAGAGAGAGAGAGAGATTAGGACTTGTTGGAACTTGCCTATATTGCACGTTAATATCTCTGATACCACCCACGCTCTTCACACACTGTTGTTCTCTTTCACAGAGTGCAACACACACACAGAAAATTCTTACTTTAGACATCTCACTAAAGGTTATGATTATGGCATTTTGGTGTGGTTTTAACAGGATACTCCCTCAGTGCCAAGGACATTAGAGCAGCTCTAATACTTAGGATACTACAGAGAGTTCACCATGACTCATACTGCATGCCACCACTGCAGCTTTAGGAAGCACAGCCTGTTTCCAGTGCAGAGAGAGGAACATACATACATACTACATGCGCTTGTTTCTGCACACAGCACTTTGCAGAAATCCTCCTGTTTCAAGGATTTTTTAACAACACTTTTTTGGATCAGTCACACCTCTGAGGTGACACCACCTCTACAATTGGAGTGTGATTTTGCTCACATGCACACACAGCATCAACGCTTTCTCACATGAATCACACAGTTGATTGTTCTCACATGCACTTCATTATCTAGCCAAACATTTCTAAGACTCTATGTTCCCAGTTTCTCTCCTTCACTGTTAACAAAGCGTGAGACATTCTGGGTGACACTTTGCTGAGCCAAAAAGTCAGAAAAACAATGAATTTCCTTCCATGGAAACTAACATTGCTTGCAAATGCCGTTTTTAGCAAAGGAGTGTAAGAAGCTACAATCCCTCCATTTACCTATACTCCGTAGAGTATGATTTCCTTCATATGTACAATCTAGAAATCATCCTCTATGAAGGACAGATAGAGTACGATTTCCTTTATAAGTACAACCAAGGAAACCTTGGGTTCCAGCTCTAAAAGTGAGTTTAAAGTTTACAACATCTATTTGTTATGCAAATTATTGCTGCAAGATATTAAAAGTAATACCTTATTTACACGGGCATAGATTTGTCATGTATTTTGTTATTCCATTTTTATGTGTTTGGTCATGATTCATTTTTACATGATCAATTTTCCAATCTCTCTTTAGCTCTTAGAATTAAACAGGCTGTTTTGTTAATGTGTACTTAATACTAGTAAATGAGCTCTGTTCTGATTGGCTGCATATGTAAATATGTTGGTTTATGTAAGCTCACAGAACCAGTAGGAAAAAAGGGTTGTTTTTTGCAGCTTGGTTTCGATATACGGACTGTGTGGACTGGGGAATGAATAGTACATTTTGATACTTTACATACTACACCAAACTGTTATTTCCTGAACATGAGTATCATTCAGTTTTCCAATATATGGGCCCTTTAAAATCACTCAAAGTTAAGTTAAAAAGCCAATTAACACTATTTCCCCCTTTCGCAATAAATGTAGTCATCAATCAAAATTACATTTATTATCCAAGGTTCTTTAGTTTTGCCCTGGAGATGCTAGGCTAATGCAACTAGTCTACATAAGCGAGTCTATTTAAGGCATGCATAATGCTAACTGGTGTACTATAAGCTTTCATTACTTTTTAGCTACGTTAGAGTCATAACTTCAGTGCAAAACTAAAGAAGCATACTTCTTAGGTACATCTTGGCTGATAAACTACACTTGGGAAGAGAGAAAACTGTGTAAATTTAAATTTAATGAACAATCCACTGTGATAAGACTAAAGATTTAATGAGTTGGTCTGAAACAAATAGGTGAACCAAACAATATATGTTAAAGTAGAGAGGCGGTTGCTACGTATTGAGCTGTGAGTCATACCTGCTGAGGTGGTGGAGGGGGCTGCATGTATCCCTGTGCAGGAGGCGCTGTTTGCAGCACAGGCTGGGTAGGGGGCGGAGGAGGTGGAGGGGGGTGTGGGTGAGGCGTGGGTGGCTGGTAACCAGAGGGTGGAGGGGGCATAATGTAGCTTGGCTGTGGTGGGGGATGCTGGGACAGGACGGCAGGAGGAGGCTGGTAGAGGCTGGTCGGCTCTGGAGCCTCACTGGAGCCCTGACGACTCAAAGACATCTGCCCAAAGCCTGAAGTCAACTCATCAGCCTGAGACAGACAGAAAGGTACGAAAGGGGATTGTAAATGCTCTAGTGTAAGTTGTTACTCTTTTCAAGGGATGTTCAGATTATCACATTATCAAGTTACATGGATAAACAGACACACAGAGGGAGCATCATCATTTTTAATATTACAGGTGCTACTGACGTGAATTCAAAATCAACAAAAGCCAGAAAGTTACATTTCCATCCTGTTTATGATAATCTACAGTAACAGTCAACGGTGTGGACAGACCTGCATGTTTAAGTGTTTTTTCATAATTTTCTTTTTTCCACATTTTAGAATAACAGTGAAGATATTAAAACTATGAAATATCATACACTATATGGACAAAAGTATATGGACACCCCTCCTAATTATTGGGTTTGGGTGATTCAGCCAAACCCATTGCTAACAGGTGGATCAAATTAAGCACATAGCCTTGCAGTCTTGACAGACAAACATTGGCAGTAGAACGGGTTATAATGGTGAGCTCAGTGACTTTAAACATAGCACTGTCATAAATTTGCCACCTCTGCCACAAGTCAGTTTGTGAAATTTCTGACCTGCCAGATCTGCCCCTGTCAACTGTAAGTGTTACTATTGTGAAATGGAAGCACTAGGAGCAACAGCAGCTTTGCCACGAAGCCGTAGACCTCACAGAGTGGGGCAGCAGAGCGCTGAAGCGCACAGTGTCTATCCTCTGTTGAATCACTCACTAAAGAGTTCCAAATTGCCTCTGGATGCAACATCGGCAAAAGAACTACGCATCAGGAGCTTCACAAAATGGGCTTCCATGGCCGAGCAGCTACACACAAGCCTAAGATCAAAATGCACAATGCCAAGCATCGAGGGAAAGGGTATATAAAGCACGCTGCCACTGGACTCTAAAGTAGTGGAAACGTATTTTGTGGAGTGATGAAACACGCTTCTCTATCTGGCAGTCTGAAGGATAAGTCTGGGTTTGGCAAATGCCAGAAGATTGTTAACCGGCCTGCATTGTACCAAATGTACAGTTTGGTGGAGAAGGGATAATGTTATGGGGTTGTTTTTCAGGGACCCCTTAGTTCCAGTAAAGGGAAATCTTAATGCTTCAGCAGACCGAGACATTTTGGACAATTGCACACTTCCAACTTTGTGAGAACAGTTTACGGAAAACCCTTTTCTGTTCGAGCATGACTAAGCCCCAGTGCACAAAGCAAGGTCCATAAAGGCATGGCTGGGTGAGTTTGGTGTGGAAGAACTTGACTGGCCAGCACAGAGCCCTGACCTCAACCCCATCAAACACCTTTGGAATAAACAGGAATGGAGATTGAGAGCCAGGGCCTCTCGTCCAACATCAGTGTCTGACCTCACAAATGCTCTTCTGGATGAATGGGCAAATATTCCCACAGACTTCAAAATCTTGTAGAAAGCTTCCCAGAAGAGTGGAAGTTGTTATAGCTGCAATGGAGGGACCAACTCCATATTCATGGAAAAGCTCCTGTAGGTGTAATGTGTAGATGTCCCAATACTTTTGTCCATATAGTGTATACATATTATACATATAGTTGCATAGTCCTGGTTAAACTGCATGTTTTGTCTAAGTGAAAAAATCTTCTACAGGGAAATATGGTATTTTCTTACAGCTTCTATTTATTTGCTGAGTTTAACATATTGGAAAAAAAAGAAAATATAAAATATACAATGTGCCATTACTTTTACACAGACCACATTTTAGGTTTTCTGCCCAGTTTGTTAAATTCAGCAAACTGTATTTGTGCATTAAAATTGCAGAAGTGTGTTCACACAACTTTTCATATGACTGCATTAGCCTAATAATTATTAATAAGAACAAGAGGGAAATACAGAGAGAGAGAGATAGAAAGAGAGAGATAGAGAGAGAGAGAGAGATAGGAGAGAGAGCGAGAAAGCAAGAGAGAGACGAAGATTGGAAGACTGCAGGCAAATTGTTGCACTGTTAGAGAACCTGTCATACAACTAAGATTATACGATCTAGGGAAGAAGATGAGACAGAGAGGAGACGTGATGGATAGCAGGAAAGGATAGTAGTACCATGTTATACTGCTGAGAAGGAGAAACAGGCAGGATGACCTGAGGGCAGGAGGGACTGGAGTATGAGACAGGCTGTGGAGAGGGCTGCAGAGACGCCACCGGCTAGAGAGGGGTGAGATAAGGGGGGGGGAGCAAGAGAGAGAAGAAGGAGAAGAAGGGATAAAAGAATGGATGTTAGCAGAGGGAACACCAAAAAAGAGACACAGAAGGAAAGTTATAATATGTAGCTGAGAAAGTCGAGAGCAGAATGAAACAATTTATTTGTTGCCATACTGAAAATAGGCTATAGCCCTGTTACTCTATACTGCCAGAAATATAGTTGGAGATGTGATCCACAGCTAGTTAAGTTGATAAAATAAAATACTAGATGTCTCCTTGACTGTGATTAAAACCTAGTTGTTTCAAAAAATGAAAGCCCACTCACCTGTGGTAGCATGTGGTTGTGGTTATGGCTGCTGATGGGGTGCTGTGGGTGGGTATGAGTGTGACTGTGTGTAGGGGTGGGCAGAAGGGCGGTTTGGGGAGGTGGTGGGGGCGCCTGGTTTTGGGGCGGAGGGGCACTGGAGGGGCAATTAGAAGGACAGGGCAAGAGACTGCGCCCCTGCTGGGGGGGCTGGGGGCACGCCTCTGTGGTGACAAGAGGAAGACCTGCAGATCAAGAAATAGGAGATCTGGAACAAAACAGAAACCTGTACAAAACAGCTACAGTTTGCTTGTTAGCCCAATTCATGCTGAATTTGTTTTACCTGGGAGATACTGTTATTTAAGTGATTAAAATCACAGATCCTGCCAGTAAATACAAACCTACAATGTCCAAACTATGTGCTCCAATGTCAGTAAAGATTATGGCGACTTTTATCTTCAGTTAAACAGAAATAATCCCACGTTATGCTAATCCTGTGCAAATTGCCCTGTCTGTAAATGTTCCATCGCATCCAGTGTAAAACATGTTCTCATCTGTTTTTCTTAAGTATAGAGACACTCAAACAAGCATTTACTTGTATTCTCTGTGGCCCAAAGTAAGCAGAGACACACTGTCCTCTCCAAGTAAACTCACAGTATTAGGACAGAAAAAAATTAGACTTCTAGTGACAATGCTGTCTGTTTGCTGTAATGCTAGTGACAACATTAATTTACTTGAAAACAGCTAAACAGATGGTTGGGGAAAATGATTTTTTTTTATTAAATGTTGAACATATTTGCTACTTGTAAGCAGTAAAATGTTTTGGGTATGAAATGTATTGCATTTTGTCGTGAAGGCAATGCATAAACTGAGTAGCCAGACTCATATTTGGAATTTACACTGAGATCTCTTATGCAATTCGGTGAAAAATATTACAGACGTCCAATGATAAAACTACACTATCCCACCTCTCCGTATAAAAATAATCCCGCCCAAACCGTACTTGTGACTGTAAACTACTATCAAAATTGCATGTGTTCATGTGTACCTGTGCGCGAACCCCTGGCACTGCCCTGCGACCCCTTGCTGCCCAAACTGTCACCACGTGTGAGGATGGAGATGCCGCTGAAGCTGCTGGCCTTGGTGACGGGCGGCCGCAGTGTGCGGTTTGAACTGTCAGAGTCTGTGCTGCTCCACGGCCGTGGCTCCAGGCTCTTCATGTCACTGTCCGTGCTGCTCTGCCGACTGCTGGACGCCCTGCTCGAACTCTCCTTATTCCCCCTGCAGGACAGCAGGACATACGATGGGACAAGAGGGAAGAGGGGAAAAGAAAAGAGAGGGAGAGGACAGAAAGAGGGGAACGGACCTTATTTGTAAAATATCAACAAGAAATTTAAAACCTATTCTTCATCTCTAGAAAAATGCACTCAGATCACAAATTCCATTATCAACTTTGGAAAAAAAACAGAAGAAACACAAACATACAAACAATTCACATCTTCAGACAGACTTACACACACCACTGCAAAAATAAATAAACAAACAAACAAATAAATATATTACAAAAAAATTAAATGAGTAACAATAAAAATAAATAAACAAAACACCCACTGGGGGGATATAACAAAAGTCATATCAAAGAAAACTCTGAAAACAAGACAAGGCCCCGATCACACAAAACACTTGGAAAATGCCCTGAGTTACAACAAGCCACAGACAACACGAAATAAACAACCAATCACACTCAAACAGAAAACATACAAACAGGGACACTAGAATTGTCTATTAACACGTCAGCTCATGCCCTCTGAACATTAAAAACAGAAACAGCACAATGCAAACAACCAGACACACTCTCAAACACAAAACCACTGCCATGTTGTTTAACTATTAGCATACACACTCATTTTCTGTGTGCTACGCTGTCCCTCTGGACAGGACCAGCTGCCAAGAAAACCAATCACGTCACATTTTTATTATCTCATTTTCGTAATCCAATATTTCACTTAGTGATGTTTCACATCCAACACTTCTGACTATGACACTGCAAACGAATTCCAAAGTTGGCATAGTATGTGAAACGTTAATAAAAACAGAATGCAGTGAATAGTAAACTTTCTGAAAAGGGTGCAAAACATGTTATGTTTTACTTTATGAACCTTTTTCTGTAAATATACGCTCATTTTAAATTTGATGTCTGCAACATGTTCCAAAAAAACTGAGACAGAAGCATGTTTACCACTGATCAGTTTTGAATTTTTTTCCACTCTTCTGTTATTCAAGTCTTCAGCTGTGCAATAACACAGGGCCTTTTTGTGATATTTTGAGTTTAAAAACACGTTTTCAATTCCAGACAGTTCTGGACTGCAGGCAGGCCAGTCTAGCACCCGCACTGTCTGATTATGCAGCCTTGCTGTTTTAACACGTGCAGAATGTGGCCTGTTGTTGTCTTGCTGAAATAAGCATGGACGGCCCTAAAAAAGCTGGTACTAAAAGGCAGCATGTGTTGCTCAAAATGTGTTTAGGAGTAACAGCGCTTTCACAGATGTGGAAGTTACCCACCAGTAGTCCCCCCCATACCATGACTTCACAATTTAGATGGTCTTTGTTTTTTTCTTTGGCCCACAGAACACAATGTTTTGTGGATGCAGGGCTGGATGGTGTTTATGGACAATAGTCTTAGAATTCCTGAGCCCTAGTGGTGATATCCATCATAGGAACATGACAGTTTTTAATGCAGTGATATTTAAGGGATATTCACAGTAGTGGTTTTCAGCCTTGTCCTTTACGCACAGAGATTCTTCCAGATTCCCTGAATCTTTTGATAATGATATGCCACATAGATGATGAAATGCCTGAAACTTCTGCAACATTATTTTTAAACTTCGCTTTTTTTTTTTATGCAAGTGGCGAGCATCAATTGATCCTTGCTCATAAAGGAGTAGGGTTTTCCTGGATGCTCCTTTTACATTCAAGCATGACTGCATCACCTGTTTGTGAAAAGCAAAACATCGTAAGGTTCCTAGTCACTGCAGGCATCAATTTCAGAATGAATGTGTATCTACTAAACAATTAATTTAATCAGGTAAAACATTATACATCTTCGTTCAAAAACAGGTCAAAGTAGATTCATAAATCACTGCTTTCTGTTTTTATTTGCATTTTACATACTGTCCCAACTTTGTTGGAAATGGGTTTGTATTATCTACAAAAAAAGATCAATATTACCATGCTTAGACACAGGTTTCAGCGTCAAAGCCACCAATATCCAGGTAATTGAACTGCATTATTCAGTAGCACTTGACTGAAGGTTAGCATTTATAAGGCTAAACACCTACATAAGCCTTTCAGCACAACTGACATACATACATACATACATACACACACACACACACATAGATACTGTGCAAAAGTCAGAGACTTTTGATTAATTTCCAGTCAAAACAGACATTAAGTAAAAGTTATTGATTTTTAGCATCACGGGAAAAAAAGAAACACAGTATTGTGCAAATTTGAGAATACCTGAGAATATTTTGTTTATATTTATAAAAGCTACTAATTGGGCAGCGAAGGTCCATTAGAAAAACAGTAATATTAGAATAAACACAACTAACATTATTACAGTATGTATTACAGTTTACATACATCAATGTGTTTGGTTTAGATAATGTGCTTAGGTGACTGAGACTTTTGCATGGTACTGTAGATGTAACAGAAAAGTATATGGATGTCTTCAATAAGTATAATACCTAATCTATGAGCATTTAGTTTGTCCACACCTTACTTTTGTGCACCCAACTACCACTTTCCTTAGTTGGAATCTTAAATCTTAAAATCAACCGGTTCTAGCTGTGTCCTCTTAACAAAAAGCTGTTCATAAGCAAGTCGCTGACATTGTTTCCCTTCAAAGAAACACTAACCTTCAAAAACAACTAACCAAAAACACCTTAGCTGCCATGCCCAATTTCTCATGTGAGGCTAAAAGAGCTAAAGGAAATATTTTTTAGAAGACTGGAGTTTACAAAAACAAAAAAAACAAAATTATAATTATAGTATACTGTGCCATTAATGGCTGTTTTGACTGGCAACTAAATAAATGTAAAGGTGGTCTCTGACTTTCGTTCAGTCCTGTAAGTCTATATCACCACATATAAAAGCGTAATCCAACAACATAATAAAGGCTTATTCCAAGGTTTATGCCAGTCATTAACCATTCATTAAAAGCTTATACAGGTGTCATGCAGTCTTTCAAATGGTACCCTTCAGTAAAGTGTTGACCATTTTTCAATGATCATTTTTCCATCAAGCTTTCTAGCTTCTAGATGGTTTCATTTCCCAGGCTGTATGAACACCACAGGCCAATAACAGTGGTTTACATAAAAATTTCATTGAATAAAGGCAGTTATTAAAACCTGTATTCAGTTCTTACATGGAGAACACATTCTAAATCCTCTAAAAAGCAACCTGCAAACACATAAGAATCCCACTTACCTGAAAATACCTGACTAAACCTTGCTTTTCTTTATTCTAGTGCTCAGACTGGCCATAACAACAGTCAACACTCTACACTGACAGCTCAATGAATGCCATGTGGAAATAAGTAATAACAGTAATCAGCCCAGAAGTACTGGGACTGACTCGCTGTCGAGATGCCTAGTGTTGTCATCAGGATTCTTAGCAAAGAGAGTGAAGTACTGATGACAGGTGACTGATGACTTCCCAATGCCACTATATGGTAAGTAATGGCAGTGGAAATCATTTTGAAAGGCCAGAACACAATGACCTAACAAAAGCACACAAATCAAAATGTACCCATGTGTGACTGTTGGAAGACGCTGAAATGTTCTCCCTCATTCACCATGGTTCATTTAGTTGATCAGTTCCTGAACAACTGGCAACATTAGAAATGTTTTTGGCAATTGTTAGGTCTAGGTTTATGATAATTGCTTAAAAAAACACTGCATTTGTAACTTTACAGAAATGAATGTTATATTTCTCCATAACGTTAATGTTGGTAGATGTAGTCCCTGTCTCTACATTTTAGAAATGTTTATTTATTGGCTTTAGTATTGGCAGATATGCACAGAATTGGCCCAGAATTCCCATATCAGTACATCCTTTGTTGGATCCAATTGATAGTTAATGTATTATTAGGAATAATAATATATGAGAGAACAAATCCTACTATCACCGTACTGTAACTACTGTCATGATTTTGGGCAGAAGTAAACATCAAATCAATGTGTAATGAGTTAATATTGCCACCACAGATCACATTCATATCCAGTTCTACTGTGAAACTGTACATGCTCCTAGCAGAGCTCACAAAGCCTAGAATCAGCACTAATTTACTGATGATGTAAGCTGTTAATAGTGTGCATTGAAAAATGGCTGTGGCACAAAAGAGGATACATGTTTTAAAAGGTGATCAGACTGTTGTGCTGGAAGTGTTCGTTGTCTAAATCATTTATGCGTGAGTGCATGTTTTTTTTTGTTTTTTTTTAAAGGTTGTGTAGTGGAGTGAATATTTGTGTACGTAATTAATGGATGAGCTATTTTAAGCCTGCTGCCTGCACAGACCAATTCTGAGACGCACTTACTGCAGACAGTGAGAGAGAGAGAGAGAGAGAGAGAGAGAGAGAGAGAGCGCAAGCTCGAGAGAGAGAGCGCAAGCTCGAGAGAGAGAGCGCAAGCTCGAGAGAGAGAGCACAAGCTTGAGAGAGAGAGAAAGCGCAAGCTCGAGAGAGAGAGAGAGAGCGCAATACAGAAAGTGAGAGCAAGAAAGAGAAAAACAGAGAGAGTGAGTGTGAGGGAGAGAGCAAGCAAGTGAGCAAGAGAGAGCAGGCGCAAGGGAGAGACAGAACCAAATCAAAAAAAGAGAGTGAGAGAGAGAGTCCAGGCAAGAGTAAGAGCGAGGGAGAGAGAGCGTGAGCGAGTGAAAGAGAGAGGCAGAATGAGAGGGAGAGAGAGACTATGAGCGAGCAAGAATAAGAGTGAGTGGGGAGAGAGAACAAGAGTGAGGGAGAGAGGGGAGAGAGAGAGGAGAGAGAGAGGGGAGAGAGAGAGAGAGAGAGAGAGAGAGAGAGAGAGAGAGAGAGAGAGAGAGAATAAGAGTAAGGCAGAGAGAGTGCAAGAGTGAGAGAGCAAGAGAATTTTTGCCCTTGTCTGCCATGCTCTCTCTCTCTCTAAGTAATAAACTGAAATGGTAACTACAGGCAGGTCAATAATCTAACATTTTATTACATTTTACAAACAAATAAAGAACAGAATTCTATGAGAATGACAGGAAGACACCCCACAGACTGCAATAACTCCAAACATGCGTCAGGTAGCAGAAGACTGTTGCATCACCGTACAGCAAATGACAATTCCAGAACATTCCCCACTGCAACCATAGCAACCAGGCTTAGCCTGGTCTCACATACACACACGCACACACACCCACCGAAGTGCAGGTGCATATCAGAGTGCAAGAACAGTTATGACTTAAAAAGTCCCCCCCCTCAAAGAGATTTGGTTCAAATCCACATAGCAGCCATGCACGGGCCCTCTAGCAATCCCCACAGTGCACCGAGCCGACGCCAAGCAACACACGGTCACCACGGAGACGCGCATCGTAATACACAGCACACTCAGTACCTAAAGATCTGCCTCCTCTTATGGGAAGAAGAGGAGTAGCCTTCAGTGGACAGTCTGTGGGGTCACATTGGGAAGAAAAAAAAGGCTGAAAGTTACTGTACATGTAGAGTGGAGGGAGTGTGTTTGTGCAAATCTGGAGGGGGAAGAAAACAGAAATGGAGCCCATAGGCCAACACCAAAGCCTGCTTCCCCACACCATGACCGAGCAAAGCTAGGCTCAGAGATGAGACTGGATTTGTTCGATCTGGTCATGAAATGCAGGCTTTGAGCAAGGAAAAAAAAAAAAAATACAAACTAAGCAAAAATTTCCTCTCCCAAGCTCAGTGTTTATCTCTCTCAGCACTCCTCCACCTTCACCTTCTCCTCATCCTATCTCAGCAAAAGTGCTTAACCTTTAGAATCTACCTTCCCTACAGTGCATTTACGATTGAAATGTACAGCCGGTGTATACAGTACATACTTGGCACTTGGCTTAAAAGGGGAGTTCCACAGTAAGTAATATTCGGTGGCCGAGCAGTAAACAAAGTCATTTAGAGTGGTTAGACTCAAAATTTTACAGTGGTGGTCATAGGAACCGGGGATCACAATGTAGCACAAATATAACCATTTTATTTACTATCTGAAACCACCAGTGAACCTACAAATGTCTTCTGAATTTTTATATGTAATGTTGATGATGTTAATACAGCAGAAAATCTGAAAAAGTATGTTTTCTTTGGGGATTATTTTGCCTCAACACCCTACATGTACCTCTCCACCATAAACAGATTCAAGAACATATATGTTGAAGGCCAAACACTTCTCAGACCTACTGTATAACAATGTCTTATGCGTCGTTTGTCTCATATCATTTCATGTAACAACTTTGTGAGGGAGCTTTAAAAGACAAATTCTTCAGACATCCGTGAACAATTCTGGCTCAGTAAGTTTCTCTAGGACACACATCAAACGATTCTGATTGACTTTGTTTACAGCTTAATGGTTTAGTCATAAAGAAATCTGTAAAACATCAGGGGAATTCCCCTTTAACAGAGTGATCAAATAAATCAATGCATTTAAAGCCCCAGGGAACCTACAATCGAGTCTTTTTTTCAGTTACATTAATCTGTGGTTTGTGGGTAAACAACATACATATGAAAAGTAGATCCTATGAATAACTTCCCTATGTCCAGCAAATGAGCGATGCATTCAATTCTCCCCTTTTGGGCAGTCCAACTATTATGTAAGTTTCACTTTCACAAATCACAAGGCTGATGTAGCTTGGCCCACTTCTTACAGCTTTATAAAAACTGTGTGTTCCCCACTGCCTCGCTCTCTTTGGGTCAGAGAAACGTAACGAGCTAAAGATAATGACCAAGCGAAAGCTAGCCAAGCTAGCAAGCTACCTTGCTTGCATTCATTTAGTCGTTCCTTTGTTCAACCGTCTGTTCAGGGATGAACAACCAGCAAAAATGCCTTCTCTGATGCATCAACACATAAAAGGTAGATGATCTTTAGTGAGCCTGACACAGCGGTGCCTACAACACCACCTGCATATGTAGTGCCAAATTTACTCATTTCTCCCTGCTTGCGCTGTTGAGTTTAGCTCAGCACAAGCGGGGTAACAGGCTGGAGGCTGGACTGAGGGATGTAAATCAAGCATGCTGATTAGAATATTAGTACCACGCCAAGAAAAAGTTCTTAGATAGGTATTATCAGCATTGTTTATTTCCTATTTTTTCATTCAAACTATGCTGAATGAGTAATTTAACACTCAATTTTACCAGATGCAAACATTTTTGATACTTCACACTGTGTTCCCTGGGACTTCAACCAAAATCATCTAGCATAAAATCATTTTCGTATTTGGTAGGTGCTGAGTCTGATATAAACATTTGACAGTTTTAGTGCCAAAGGGGGGAAAAAAAAAAATCAGTTAGATTATGGATTGTGCACTACACTTGACATTGACAGATTTACCCACATACATCTTGTAGGATCACAAGGTGGGCACACATTATGCCAGTGACACACCAGCAATTTACTGTCAGTGGGCAATGCTGGTGAGAGGTGCAGTCAATGTGAGAAGCAAAGCAGACTGTTAGAAATAAATCCATCAAGAAAACCCTACTGTCAGTACTATGTCTAGAGGTACAGTTGTTTACATTGCTGGTATATTATTAGCTTCAGAAATGTGCCAAATAAAAACACACTGACTCAAACCAGCACTGCTCACCAGTGTAAGTGTATCTTACCTGTTGTCGTTGATGTATCCGTTTTGAGAAGACTGTGAAGAAAAAAACACCTGCACATTACGAATAGCTCCACAGCTGAGCTGAATCCCCAAACACTTGTTTACAAATATATGTTTACAATCAGGCAGCTCTTTCACTAATTTAGTGATTTGCAGAGTAAAAATCAAACTGTCTGAACTACACTTTAATCAATGCTATGATAAACTAAATTGTATTTACAATATTAAGATAAAAATACATAAAATCGAGATTGATAGAAGCTTCCTCTTTTAGGGTCTCTAAGAATCTCAAAGGAAAACTTAACATAGCAGACTAATGATCTGGTAGCAGGTGGTTTCTGAGCTTCTTCAAAGCACTTAACAAGAAGGGTGATACAGTGTACATTGAAATCATAAAAAATCATGTTCTAGGAGTTCACTGGCAATACAGATCTTTTATCATTCACTGCTGCAGGTTATCATGCACTCTTCAGTGAAATGGAGTTTGGTGGCAACGCTTTGATTTCCCATGCTCCAGTGGCAGGCACTTACTTCCCGAGCAAAGATTCTATCTCGGACCCGCTGATACTCCTCCTCCCTCTCCTCGATGGACTTACTGCGACGACCATCCTGGAGCGGAACCCGGATCTGAGAGACATACGGGTAGGACCACAGAAAGGACTTTAAATTAGATGATGATAGAAGATGAGACAAAAAACAAACAAAACAAAAAAATATGACTAAATGCTCACCTGATTATCATCTTTGTCCATGCTTGCATCGTCCCTCTTCAGGATAAATTTCTTTTGGAAATCCATGTTCCTCTCGTCCTTAATGTGCTCAGAAAACCTCTGCTCAGGGCTGAGAAAGAGAAAAGGTGAGGGAGAGAGAGTCAGTGTGATTCATGCAGTATTAGGGCTGAGTGTAGCACCTGCGTTTTTACCTTATAAAGCACTTACGTATGCTATTTGGTTCAGAGTTATTCAGTTTAATATTTAACATAATAAAAAGAACCCATACATGTAAAAGCCCATAATTACAACACATTATGTTCTAATTATACAACACTGATACAGAGAAATATTCAACATTGCTAATAAGGCAAGGCAAGTTTGTTTATATAGCACCTTTCATACACTGCTGTCATCCAAGTGCTTTACAAATACGAAAATACAAAGCCATTTAAAAAGTAAAGAATAGCAAAAGTAAAAATAAGAAGTGGGGATTATAGCCATGGAATCATCTTATTTTAGAACCCAATAAATTGTACAACGCTGAGAAGCTGCATTAGTGGTTAGTGACCAATGAGAATCTATGGCATGTGTTGTGGATTCTCCTTACATGCGCGTGTTGCTTGTCTTGTTGATGATGACTGCTTTGCCAGTTTGGTCCACGTTGTGGTCCATGCCAAAATAAGCTGCCACTCGATGCAGCAACATGCGATGATAAGAGGTCATCTGGGGGAACTTTTTATACTGATTACTGAAAAAAGATGCAAATAAATAAGCAAAAAATGCTCATGCTACTACCATTAATAGTAATTATATTAACAGTAAATCTGACAAATATTTCAATTTATTGAATCATTACAAGTAAACATGGCTGGCTGATGGGCTACTGGGCATTCTGGTGGTTATATGTGCCACCATTCAAAAATGTCAATTTACCTTAATGTTGGACTATGTACAGTGTATATACTGTGCCAATGTCAGACCCTTTCACCTATTTAATTTCCACTCAGAAAGTAGTTCATATTCATTTTTCAGTATCAGAAGCCTCAAAGACCAATTTTCCAGTATTTAATGTGTTCACCCTTTTTCTTTATTATAACTTGTATTCTTTTACAGAGACTTTCTTTCAGTTGTTTAGATCAGTCTTATAAATTTAGTTGCATTTTCTGCTTTTCAAGATCTGAGTAATCCAAATGACAAATTCAGCATCATCAGTCCATAAAACTTTACTCCACATCTCAGATGTCCAGTTTCCCAGGTTTAGTGCTAATGACCTTTTTTGTCTATTTCCTTTTCTCAGTAACAGCTTTTTGACAGCTACACATCCTTCCAGACTCAGTGTTGTCTTCTCACAGAAGAAGGATGGACAGAAACACCTGTGGATTTTGTTCAGATCTGAAGCAGGAGTGGAGCTTGATTTCCTACTTTCTCAAAGATGAAAGCTTTAAGTACTGTTTATGGTGAGTTTCATTTTCTTTCGTTCTATTTTAATTGCTTTTTCTTTTGGTATCTCCTGTTTATTTCACATGATTTCCTCTAACGTCCCCATTCCTTATGCAAGTGGAGTATCTTATATCTAATCTCAGAAATATCGTCTTTAGCCCTTTTAAAAGTACAAAAGAAAGAATTGTTTAAGTTAGTTATTAGTGTGAACATTATTGCCTGTTTGTAGGGGAACATAATGACTGACACCTTTGGAAACAAGTTTCTGTTGGGAGGACAGCTGTAAATTGTAAGTTTTAAGACTGGAAGGATGGAAGAACTAATGTGACAAAGGTCCACAAAAGTAAAGAGTGATTAAATAGATTTCATATTACATCAAGTTATGAAGATTTCCATGTAATGTTCTATTAAATATATGCTAAACATATTTCTGACACTGTACTTGACTGGAAATTCAATAAACGAAAGAATGGTCTCCGACTTTCCACAGAGCTGTAAATTTAATGCAGTATGCCTCAAAAAAGGTCTACCTTAACTGCAACAATTACAGACGCAAAGCTTCAAGTAGCCAACAGGGGGCAATAAATATCACATTCAAGTAGCCACAACATACAGGTAGCCAGACAGACACAACCTCAAACTTAACATAGAGCTCTCAGTCACACCATGTCACCTCATTTTCTAAGCACTATCATCTAGAACTGCTTTTTTTACCCTCTGAGTTGTTGCTGTTATGCAGCTCACTGACACACATTCATTTGAAATTACAGCTCTCATCAATTCTACTGAACCACAATGTTTGTTTAAAAACAATTCTATGTAAAGACAAAGCTACAGCTAAAAGTAACTGTCACAAAAGTCATTACTTGCTTTCTCCACGTCTCAATACCTGTTAAGGGTAAGAATGGTTTTTTTCCATGCAGAGAGAGCCATTAAAATAAACTCTGGGTGAAGACAGTGGTGCTAAAAGACGGAACCATTTTTTCACATTTACTTTCATCCTTTTCAGACAGCTACAACTTTGGGGCTTCTGAAATTACTACATTGAAAATACTACTGGTAAATTATTCTAGATGCTATGTATAGTTAACTAGGGCACACACAGACCTTCTAAGTGTGCATTTTAGAGGACAGGGAGAGAAGTTGCCACTGACTGTCAGTACTATGGCTTCAGTCCTGTCAGATGATATACAGTAGAGTCCTCTTTGTTCCCTCTTCAGTGAACAGAACTGTTTAGAACATTTATATAGATGTCAAGTAAAATCAATGCAGCCTACATACACATTCTTGCACATTGATCATGAGAACATATTTTGTTCTAAACAATAGTGAGACTTGTCTTGTTCTTGTTTGTTCAGAATAACTGCAACCACCCAGAAGTGACAGCTCTATGGCTGATGGAGACTGTAAGCTTTCCAGGTTCTGGGAAAAAACCTGAAGTCCAGGTAAACAAGATGGCACACAGACAAACTCACTCACTTGTCATCATTAATGAACTCCAGTATATCTTGTTCCAGCTTCAGCAGCATCATTCTATCCCTGTCACATTGGTAAAAATATAAAAAGACAGTAAACGTATGAGAGAAAGATATGAGATTTCCAGTGAAAGAGAAGCATTAAAAGCTGTCAAAGTTTAAACACTTCTGAGCCAATACATGAACACAACAACTGTTTAAAGCAACTACTGTTTATACTATTTATCTACATAAAACATTCACGAATTAGATAAAGCTGCAAATAAGTACGTCTTGTGAGTGAGGCTACAGGATTTAAACCTTTAATAACCATCAATATTTTCCAAAATAGACACTGAAGAAAAATAGATTGCAGGAAAAATATTAAGACTCGACCAATATTGGTCAGCCAATAACATCGGCCAATATTTTGGTCCTATAAATTTGTTGAAGTTATCTATATTATTGTCCATCAACCAGCAGATACACACTGATATTTTTGTTTTCTGCAGAACATATTTTACAGCTACAGCTGCATGCCAGTGTTTGGTCAAATTACATGTTTTGTTGATTTTTTTAAGTAAAAATTAGTTAACACATCCTCTACACATTTTAGATGTTATGTTTTATTTTCTCCAATATATTAAACCAAGCAAATATATAGAGATTGTGCATTAAAAGCCCCATATTTGTGTTTGCTCCCTGTAACGGATGTGCTATTTTCACTTAGAAAATCAACAAATTTGACCAGAGGTGTTGCATACCACTGTACAATTATAATGTCTGATTTTTTAGCTACTTAAATTTGGCACTGGTGGTCTTGGTAGACCCTACAATATCCAAAGTTATCAATAAAGAAATACATGTAGGGGGCTGAAGTTGCAGTAATATGTCATAGGCCATCAAACCATGGCCTGGGCCATCATGTGTCACTGTTGTGTACGCTGTGTCATTTGTACCTGGGGTTGTTCTTCAGTGTGTTCACCAAGAACTCGTGCACATCGATCCCTGTGGAGTCTGTGTACTCCTGACTGGAGTCTGCAGAAGGAATGAAAAGAGGACAGTAAGTCTCCCCAAACCCATCTATCCCTAGTTCTGGACCCTTAGGTGGATTCAATACAGTTCCACTGTGGAATTCGACAGAGTAACTCAGTCATGCACAAAACACACAAAATAAAGAAGACATTAAATCCTGCCTTTTCACACTTTTACAGTCATTTCATTCATGCCTTCCCCAAGCAGGAGAAACTGAATCCACTGGATCCACTCGATTTGCAGGGGATTCAACTGAAGCAAAGTGGCCCAAATCTTGCAAATGGGAGTAAACAGGGAAGAGTGGGCCCAGTTTTACTGCATAAATGGCTTCACCTCAGGCTAAGACAAGTATCTGCTGAAATGGAAGTGCCTGAAGCAAAAACCAGCTAGAACACAATCTGGCCATTTGGAAACTCTTCTCCAAGCCGAGGGACACACAAGTATGCTTTTACAGCATCAGAGCTTTTTGTGAGCTTGTAACTCGGTTTTCTTTCTCTTTTTTATTTTCTCCTCACACTCCCCCCACACACACACCCCACTGGAAAAAGCAAGCTGCTTTGTTATCTCTTCAACTGCTTCCTTTTTCCAATTTCTTTAATTAAACCTGAGAACATCTAAAATTCTACTCTAGTCTGTTGTAGCCTTGTCTTTCTCAAGTGTTTTACACAGTGAAAAATACACAAAAACTTATAAATTCAATCATTACATACAAAGTAGCCAGCTATATCTATCAATCTGGATTTAACCTATTATTAATTCATTAAGAAAACTAAGAGAGTGTCTGGAAGTCATTAGCTGCTAATGGCACAGTTCTGGCTCTGCATAAGTCTGGCCTGTTTCAAGAACAAGTACACACACACACATGGAAAGTCAGTCTGAGGAGTGGTAAAATGACCTTGTCTCAAATGAACATTAAAGTGGCCACAACTGTAGCTCTATTACCAATTGTACAGAGCAAGTAGATATTTGTAGAAGTCTGCATTATCTTAAAGTTGTTGAGGTCACATTTGAGGTTGCTGCAAGAGGGTCGTCTTCAGCGCACACTGAAAAGCATGTCTTACCACGTGAGAGCATCTTGCGTGGAGTCTTGTCCTTCTTCTCCCTCTCTTCGCTCTCATACTCATCTTTCGAGGACTTCTCCTCCTCTTTGTCTGACGGGCAGCTGATGTGGAGCTGAATAATGTCCTGAAGAGTGTCAAATTATACGCAGGTTAAGATAACTTCAATACACCACTGTGTAAGGTTCAGTAAGGAGAAATGCTATTCCACTGAACCATTTCAGATGGAACAGGGGGGCATGCTGTAGTACCTGGGTCTCTGGAGGTCCATCAGTAGAAAATGGGCCTGAAGACTCTTCACATACTGCTAGACTCCTCACCAGCTTTAGCTTGGCATTGGACTGGAAGAGAGAAAAAGAAGACATTAGCAAAATTGTGCCCAAATTTGATGTCAGTTAAAGATTTAAAACTAAAAACAGTTTTGATATTATGATATTAAATTATGTGTCATATGTTAATCCAGTCTTTGTAGGGCCATGTTGCTCATTCTTAACTAAGGGCATGTGTGTGTGTTTGCACAAGAGTAAGAGAGAGAGAGCACATGAGACAGAAAGAGCAAGAGAAAGAGAAAAAAAGAGGATTTGTGTACGTCTTATGTTCACAGGTAGCTTAGTGAGTCTGAGTTGAGTCTCGATTCTCTGGGGTGTGAGTGCGAGTCGAGTCTTGAGCCTTTGGTGAAGAATTTTAATTTAGTCTTATTATTAGCTGCAGGGATTACATTGTGCAAAAGTAACTTCCTACTAAAACCAGTCAGGTTCAACATGGCTTTAACTAACACGCCTCTGATAGCATAAACTCTTCAATCTGAATGTGGCGTTTAAAGGAAAGATGCAGAACAACTTGGAATAACTGCTTAGTTTGTAGTTTGTAAAGTAACTTTAGTAACTGAGAGCTAATACAGTTGTATTAAGTTTTAAAGAAATGTGACCTGTGAGTTACTAAAACTTTTGCTAGATGAGCTGACAACTTCAGCTACATTAGCCACTGCACTAGCTAGCATACTTGCTACACAAACTACATTAAAGCCAAGTGTTGTTTTGCTTCTTTCTTTTAAACACCACAGCAATTTGTTCTCTCAGTTGACTGAAGATTTTACTATAATGAAAAGCTTGTTATGAAGCTGTATCAAACCTGATGCGGTTGTAAGCTGATGAAGAGCTGTTCTGCAGTAATAACTGCACATGACCAGAGCAGAACTTACAGGCAAACTCATACACATAAGGTAAAAAATGAAAATTGTATTTCTTTTTTTATTACGGTTTATTATTATAATAAACTTACTTATTCGGTGACACTTAAATTTAAGGGGTCTTTTTTAGATGAAACAAACACTCAACAGACTCTCAGTAACATGTCATAAACATATGATTAGTGTTAGGTTTTGGGCTGAGGTTAAGGTTAGGGTTAGGATTAGGGACAGGGTTAGGGTTAGGTTTTCGGGTTGAGTTTAAGTTTAGGGTTAGGATTAGGGCCAGGGTTAGGGTTAGGTTTTGGGTAAGGTTAGGTTTTGTATAATCGAAGTAACATATAAACAATACATCTACTTGATGTTAGTAATGAATCAACAGAACATCTTCAAGATATTTACTTCAATGTATTCAGATGCTTCACTACTGCTACTTCACTCACATGTTGTTGATGTGTTACTGATCATCTCTTGAGTTTATTAAAAATGTACAAAACACCACTCCAAATAAAGTGCTACTGCTTATTATTAATTTCTCTTGCTAAAATTTCACAAGTCTTCAGTCTCAAGTCTGAGTCAAGGTGCAAGTCAGGCAACATGCAACTTGACTCAAGTTCCCACTTCCGGTGTGGGTGTCAGGAAAAGATGCAAGCTAGATAGCAATAAGGGAGAGGGAAAGATCCAGGAACACACATGTAATTCCAACGCCTGAACCTACATCATGTCACAGAGTCAGCGTATCATTTCTCATCAAAGTGTGAGTGTGCTCTTTCCTCTCCGATTTGGCATTTGGCCAGGAGGATTAGGCGAACATCATTCAGGTTGTACATGACACTGCAGTGCAGCGTGTGTCAGTGTTTACCTTGGCTCTTTTCCTGGTATGGCCATGGTTCTGACAGCGTTTCTGAGACAGATTAGGAAAAAGAAAAAAAGAAATAAATATATACACAACCATTTAGATCAAAGCTTATAAAACAGTTGGTTTTGATCACTATCAAATACAGCATTATGTGACAGCCATATAGAAATATATCTGAATGGTGCAGTAGGTTACTGTAGCCTCAGTCTAGCTTGTTTCATCTGATCTACAGGCACACATTTTTGTGCTTATGTGTAAGTAATATAAGAGAGGCAAGAGGGTCTTCCTCTCTGTTTAATAGGGCTGTGTATTCGCAAGAGCCTGGCAATACAGGGGTTACAATTCAATATGTTGCGATATATATTACGATACTGTAAGTAAGGCAATATACTGCGATTTTTGTATCTAATTTTAAGAAAACTGAAATAGTATTAAAAACACCACCATATGCATAAAATCTGAGAGTGCAATTAGAATAGTGAGATCTAAAATTTGCATTTATCACAGTCCCTGTAACACCCAACATCAGAGCACTACTTTTTGTGCAATCTGAACAAAGGAATTAATATTTACCTATATCAGTTAAAAACCTAAATAAAAGTTTGTTTTTATCTCCTTGTACAACTTAGGCACAGTGGTGTCAGTGATGTCTCCAGGGAATGGTGTAACAAGGCTCCATTGTATTCCCCAATATTATGGAAGCTTTGTTCTGACAAATTCTGTTCTGCCTTGTCAAAATGTCCTTCCATACAGCATATTTACAGATAGCTCCCTACATAAAACCATAGGTAAGACACTTTGATAGCCTAAATCACACAAAGCTTCCTATTCACCAGCAACACTGTCAGCATTACAACACTGCCAGCTAGGTCGGGGGTTTAAACACAACCCAAAATAAACCACTGCGCGCCACAAATCTTCGCATGAAATCTATTAATTAAAAATCGATAGTGTGTTTTGGAGAATCGATACAGTATCACCAAATATAATATCGCAGTACTCAAGTGTATCGATGTTTTCTTACACTCCTACTGTATGACAGCAATTTAGAGGTAGTATGTAATATTAATTTGGTGTCACCATTTATCTTGTGCTATTGGGAGAAACACATTTCTGTGAGTCTCGTGTTTTATTTATTAATTTTTTTACCTGTGTGTCTTGCGAGAGATTTTCGTCAAGCTCTGTGTTGTTGTCAGTGGAGCAATCTTTGCCGGGTGTGTTGGTATTTCCTTTGCAGCGGGTGCCGGCTGGAGCATCAGAGGTCAGTGCACTCTCCCCCTCCCTCACCCCATCAAGGGGCAACACCATAGACATCTTCCCTCAGGAAGGGGGCCAGAGCCCAACGCACACACACCTTGAGCGCACACACACACAGAGGACTAAGAAACAAGTGAGACATGAAACAAAAAAGAGAAAGAGAGAAGTAATTTTCTGGTAATGCTAGCTTTACACTGTTAGTTTGTAATTGAGTAAAAGCTTTTTATAACAGGTGCTTTGCGATACTTCACTAATACTTATCGCCGCTGATGGAACAAAACCATATTGACAAAATCCAAAACTTTTCACGAGGAGGGAAAATGTTCTTTAAAGGTGGGGGATGTCAGTTTTCCCCAAAGTCCCCCAACGTTTGTCAGTTGCTTCAGTTTTACAGTTTTTACAAGGAAAAACAGCAGGATCTAAACATCTAATATTAATATTTAATTGGTCCACTTAAGCCATTTGTGTGGGTTCATGTACGATAAGAATTCTTTTTTACATGACCACTTTCCAACCTCTCTTTATCCCTTACAATTAGACAGGATGTTTTGTTTACTGTGCAGTCAAGACTAACATATAAGGAGTTTTGTTGTTATTGGCTGGTCTGCACTGTGACTGATTCAAAAAGCAGTCTGGGCTAAAACACTCCTTATAATGGTAAATACTAGGGGTGCGGAAAAAAAATCGATTCTTAGATGCATCGCGATGCAGACGTGAACGATTCTGAATCGATTCACAAATGTCAAAAATCGATTTTCTAAATATTTAATTTATAATGTAATGTTGACGGAACGCAAAAGGCGGAACTTGGAAGTGCGGAAGTGCAGTGCCTGGACAGTCTGTGACGGCACATAACAGAGACACTACTGAATGAGCGAGAAATCCGACCGGCTCCCTCTGCATTAAAGCCAGGTTAGGTCAGGAGTCACAACTCAAATGTTCAGAAGAGACATTTTGTCCTTTCAGCAAAAAACAAACCACCTCGGGAGCCGCAACATTTAATGTCCAGTATGTCTCAGTATGTGCTGATGTCCTAGTATAGGCTAAACGATATAAACTAAAACGCAGATTTACTTTGCTCTGCTTTAAGCTTCAGCTTTAGCCGCTTTCCTCCCATCTCCGACAGAAAACATTTCTTCAAAACTAGAGCAGCTTATTGTAAAATGTCTCAGCGTTCGACTGTTTTAGGAGGCTGAAGTCGCTTCTCATTCTCCAGCTTCTTGTTCGAATTTTTCCGTTCCACCTTAAATTCTGACTGAGGCGTCGAATGTAAATGTGGCACCATTTAAGGTGGAACAGGACAATTCAAAAGAGAAACTGACTTCATCTTCGCAACTTTTTAGTGTGTGACAGTCTCTCGTTGCAGATTTAACGTACCCGGAAACTGTGCCGCTTATAAATGCGAATAATGCGTCGTTGCTATGTGACCTGCAGTCTGCGGAGTCGTTGCCTTCTAGTTCACTTGCCACATCACTTCCATTTGACTTATTAATAAAAGATATTGGAAGTAAATTCATTATGGATCATTACAAATACTTTTCTTTAACATTACCAAGTCCTCAGACAGTAAGAATATAGAAATGCTATATAGAAAAATCAGATGCATCGAGATGCATCGATAATCGTTTTATAATCGCATCGCAGCCCTCTGAATCGTAATCAAATCGAATCGTGAGGTGCCTAAAGATTCCCACCCCAAGTAAATACATAAATGTGTTGGTTTTGGTGACACCATAAAATCATCTGCATCTTAGGTTACGTTCACACAGCAGGTAAAAGTGGCTCGAATCTGATTTTCTCATCAAATCTGATTTTTTTTGCTTGGCTGTTCACAGTATTTTTTTAATGTGACCTATATGCGACACTATTCTGAACAGATCACGCTCCTAAACTGACCCGCATGCGCAAAAGAACAATGCTTCACGTTGCTTCACGCGGTGTGCTCACCTGGAGGTAAACAATCATGGCTGCCAACGAACGCCAGTCGCTCATAGAGCTTTCAGTTTCATCTTTGCCAGCATCACAGGAGCAATCATGAAGCTTCATTGACTGACAGCTGGGCTTATCACCCAGAATGTGTTCGAGTTCGCCGTAAAAAGGGCTCAGTCACTTCTTTGGTTCGTGTCTTCGGATTCATTTAAACTTTGCTTTCAGACTTTTAACTGTTCTTTGACACTCCAGCCGTTTTGGGACATTTTTTTCGAAATCTTGATGAACACGGAGGGTTTTGAATAAGTCTCTTCTAATTCTTTATACAGAAACATCAGCCTCAACGCTTATGAGCTCTCAGCAGCGCCAAATGACGAATGTAGAATTGGATTGACGTGAAAGTCGCATGAATTCCGATCTGGCTGTTCAGACTGTTCAGAGTCGCATTGCCGCAGATCGGATACGGATTTCGGTACCACATATGAAAGCGTCTCAAATCGAAATTGAAAATGTCAGATTGAATGTGTTTTCTGTTGTTCACACTGACACACAGTTGACACATCTGTGTCACATATGAAGAAAAAGATCGGATTTGGGCCACTTTTACCTGCTGTGTGACTATAGCCTTAGTTTCCATTTATGATTGCTGTTCAAAAGTATAACAAGTATCTCCAAAACAGTAACTTTACAGGAGAAAGCAAAAACATTTTTTCCTTTTAATGTAACTGGATTCTAGATTTTGTTCAAAGTCATTTTTGAGCATTTCTATTTCTCCGTTCATGAAATGTTCACACAATGTAAACAGCAGCTGCTGTGTTCAAATCATAAAAATAAAAAATCTAATAAAATGGAATGAAATAGAAGTTTTTTTGGAGACTGTGTAGACTGTTGAGTGAATGGTACATTTTGAAACTTTAATATCTTTCATGTACTACATCAAACTCCTTTTTCTAAAATAGTGAAATGAAAAGTGAGGGAAATTTACTTTCCTGTTATACAGACCCTTTACGTTATTGCAAGCCAACAAAGAAAATATTCCCATTTATTAAAAACCTACTGAAAGCTATCTGTCCCCAAACTTCTATACACAGCATTTTAATTTTGAATGTACCTGGAACTGTAGTGTGTTGGTGTGTGTGGTGTGGCGTGTGGGGCTCCACTCTGAAGCCCCAGCGGTGAGTAAGAGGGCGGATGGTGCTCTAAACAGGGAGAGGGGGTGGGGGACACGCCATGGCGAGAGTGTGTGTCCTCACTGCTGCTGCATCCTGCACAACCTCCCCACACACAGCGTCACACACCCCTCCTGCTGGAGAGAAAGAGAGACAAGAACTTTACTGAGTGAGTCATCCAGAAAAAAATTGAGAAACAAACACCCCTGACAGACAGAACAGAACAGAATGATAAAGAATTAGCAAAGGAATAAAGGACCCTTGTACACGATTGTGTCTGTGACCAATGAATTACAAAATACTGTTGAACTCATTTGCAAAAAGATGTAGCATCTCATATGACAAGATGACTCAAGGGAACGTCACCTTAATTTAAATGCACCCGACCCACACCATGTCTGTGGCTGGCTGAGGATCAGTGAGATCAAGAGGTGCCAGAGTTAAGTAACCTTCCATCTGCCATGAAAGGGATATTATATGTGCACTATACGTCTGTAGAAATCTGAAATCAAGGGCATTAATACCCAGTTTAATTGGACGTTTGCCTCCCTTGTTCCTGCCGTAACAGCCTCTGAGAAGTCTACACACTATTACAATACTGGAATATTACTGTGAGGGTCTGATTGCATTCAGCAACAAGAGCATTAGTGAAGTCAGGTACTGATGTTGGATGATTAGTTCTGGATCACAAACACCAATACAACTTGTCTCACAGGTATTGGATGGAGCTCCATCACTCCAGAGAACACAGTTCCACTGCTCCACAGCCCAACACCAGAGGCTTTACACCCCTTTAGTTAATGCTTGGCATTGGGCATTGTGACCTTAGGCTCATCTGTGGCTGCTCCAGTGCGTCCCATTGGTCAATACTTTTCTATGGATGTGTGTGCACAATGTCAACCTGTGTCAGCAAAGGGTGCACCATAAAACACCTGGACTCACCAATTAGAAGGAGTGTCTGGATACTTTTGGACAAAACATCTATAGACAACAGTCCCATAAGCAGAAAACTTTGAAACCACAATGCACATCCAGAGGCAGGTCATTAAAATCACGCAATTCAGAAGTCACGGCACGCAGGCGGCAAAAGCCTGAGGCTGTTTGAGTGAAGGAAGTAGAACAGCTTGTGCTGCAAGAATGAAGAGAGAGGAACCTCCAACAGTGACGTCATACTGCAGAGAGAGGGGGAGAGCGAGGGAGGGAGGGAGGGAGCGAGGGAGGGAGAGACGGTGTGTGGAGCATGAGATAGACAGCAGTAGAATCATGCAGAGAGAGAGAGAGAGAGAGAGAGAGAGAGAGAGAGAGAGAGAGAGTACAAAAGAGAAGATGCAAAAGAGGAGAGACAGAGAGAGAGAAAAAAAAGAGAGAGAAAGAGAGAGAAGAAAGACTGAGCAAGAGCCAGAAACAGAGTGGAAGAGAGGAATCAGAGAGAGAGAGGGTGCAATAGAGGAGAGAGAGTAAGAATGAGGAAAAAGAAAGAAAACAGAAAACAGAAGAGATAGCAAGGGGGAAGAGAGGAATCAGAGAGAAAAAGAGACAGAGGGAGAGAGAGGGAGAGGGAGAGGGAGAGAGAAAGAGAGAGAGTGAGTGAGAGAGAGAGAGGAAGAGAGAGAAGCACAAAGATCAGGGATTCCCAACTGCAGAGAAGACGTCATCAGCAAGGCATGACACTGTTGACCAGTCACCCACACAGGCTTACACAACACTGTAGCAAACAGACGCTCACTCTGCTGTCCTGCACAGCGTCACAGCACGGCCTTCATCAAACAGCTACTGTAACTGTAACGAGAATCATAATGAGAATTTATCATGAAAGAACAAAAATGACGATGAATGAGGGAAACGAATGTTCATGAATGAGCAATCGCTCGCACTCTCTCTCTCTCTCTCTCTCTACCTCTTTCTTTGCTCTCTCCTTTTTTCACAGGACACAGGGTTGCCAAGGCGACGGTAACGTCACTCTCAGCTGCTGCCATTTGTGTTAGTGAGAGAGAAGGGCAAAGCGAGGGATGATATTAAAAATAAATATTAGAGGGGAGAGAGAGCGAGCGAGCAAGCCAGTGAAAGAGAGGGGGGGGGCAGAGAGGAAGGGGGAGAGAGAGAGAGAGAGAGAAAAAGAAAATCACTCATCTGGTTTTTAGACGGACAAAGACGACTACCACCTCCCACTATGCTAAACAACGTGTTCAGGGCGGGCTTTGGTAACCACGGAAACCACGTGTCCTGGTTTGTGCTGTCCAATTCAGAAACAACTGAACTGCACACGCTTGTGTGAGGATACACACAGTAGACCCCATGGACAACATGAGATTTGGCTCACACATGCTCTCTCTCTCTCTCTCACACACTCACACACACACACACACACACACACACACACAGTGACCCAGTTTGTCGTGTATTGCTGGGCTGAAGCAGCCTCTATCTTCTGGGGCTGATGACAACAGTAGGGCAGGAGTGATTCATGGATATGTTCACTGTTTCACATTACCCTCAAGTTAATGTGTCTGTGTACTGTCTGCTTATCGTCCGTGAGGGTGTTTAGACGCCTTTGTGCGAGAGCATAAATACGTATACAACCTCCTCACAGGGTTTCCATTTTCGTTTCATTACTGCCCAAATTATTACTATTATATTCTATTTTTAGTCTTACTATTGATATTATAGATGATATTCATAATACTTCTGGTTAGTTAACCTCAGACTGCACACAAATTTACACACATTTCTACCAGAGGTGAGACTGAAAATATGAAATTGCTAAATAACAAAACTGTCAATGAAATTTGCATGCGCTCATCTGACGATTATGCAACGTTGATGAATAACGGCTTTTCTGAGATCATATAGATAGGACTTTACTGAATGAGCACTGACCACCTACAAGTTTCATAATAAAGAGGGCATAATTAGTTAAGATGCACAGAAATAAAAATCCTTGACCGTAATTCAGGACACACTAGGTCAAAAAACAAAAAAGCAATATATACAATATATAAAAAACAATACCTAAACATATCATCAGACTTTCTTTTTTGCTTCTGTTCTTTATCTGATTTATTTATTCTGCATATCAAGTATGATGTCATATTTTCAAGTGGTATCAAACCTGTAATGGGGAAGTTCTTGGGCATTTTATCCACTCTTAATACTTAACATTAAGAGAGATAATAAACCACTTGTCTCACGTCACTCGTATAAACTGTAAAATAGTTCCACACGGCTGACATTCTTTTGTTGATCTTCTGCCGCTCAAACTGTTTGAACGTGTCTAAGCTATGCATATGTCTCATTTTCATTACTAGTACAATTATTAGTAAAGCCTTAGATTTTGACACTTCGTTTTTTTTCTGTTTGTTTTTTTTCTCTGCTGAAAATGGTCAAAATTGCACTTTAGTTTTCAGTCTAATATTTTTGGTGTATCCCAAATTATTAGGCTTATTTAACTGAATTTTCCGCACTGCAGTGTGTGAAACATTGAACAAAAATCACCAAATGCATGGTTTTTGACTTCTGAGTGGCACTACTGGCGCTACTGCATACTGTGTATCATAAAAATGTTTAAGTATTGTGAGGTCAGATTTTTTTGCCAGATTATCTACCCCTATTTTTCTACAGGATCCTTAGGGTCAGTGCAGGCACAGTATGGGTTCTGTGGGTTCAGTGGAACATCAGAGGTAAATGAAATCTGAAAGGCAGTCTGGGGCCAATTGAAAGCTGAAATGACTGTCATTCTGGAAAACCAAGCTGTGAACTGTAGACACGGCCATACCATACCATATTTCCTTTCCGGTGATCATATGACTAAATACGACACTAACTGTCAATATTTCATATGACTAATAGTACATCAGCTCAGTAATACTGCTTTCACCTGAACCCAACCTTCAGTCTGCCTCCTATCCAGTCTGGCCACAAGTCAGGTAGACAGAGGGTCATCCAACACCAATACTGATTTGATATTTCTCTTTACAAACCAGTTAGTTTTAACAAGAGTTATTTTTAATTGAAGTTCTTCACTTAAAACCATCTCAAAGTAGACTATCATCATCAAACTGCTACATACACAGTTAAAATCACATCACACAGTCCGTATGCATTACTTCAGAAAAAAAATCTTACAGGATGGAAAGATTCATTGTTTCCCCCAGCAGCAACCCGATACAACTACCTACTGATACAGACATGCCATCTCTAGAAGTAATATGAATAATAACAGAAAACATGCTGCGGCTAGAATATGTATTAACAGAAATATAACATCACATATCCTGTGTTTCTGGAAAGCATTGTAAGAAAGCAGTGACAACGTCATTCTTGCTGTGGGAATCCCCTGCCACGCCAGTGATTCAGCTGCTCATTACTCTTCAACTCCATCTATTGAAACGTGTAAAATAAAGGGACAATAATCAATCAAACCTTGCAATATTTATGGTAATACTGAATATTAACCTAAGCCTGATCTTTTTTAGTTGTGTTTTAGTTTTTTACTTGTATTGTGTAACAACCTGTGATCTCTGAATCATGGGGGTGGTTGCGGACATCAGTAGCAGGTACAGCTGATCCCAGCATTAAACATTCTGCAGAATCCATGTGCATCTCCCACATTCCATATTAACAGTCATCGCTCAAAACCCAATAATAACCCTCACCAAATACTAATTACACGTTTCCCAGCAGCACAGCAGTCCGCTCATATTGTGTAAGCGAGACAGTCTCTCCCAGCAGAGCGACTGCTTCCCCTCTCCTCCTACACTTTGCGAGACTGTGCCTATTTTTGACCATTTCGTTCTGAACTCCCTCCCTTCACTGTAACAAAAAGTCCCGGCTCCAGCAACACACAGTCCAACATCTCAGACTTTTCAGACATTATGTACTTTTAAAAACGCAGGTTCAGCCACAGCTTCAGTGAATCACAAATAAACACTTTCTGTATGAGCTGCTCCTGGTTGAGACATGGATGACAAGATTAAGATTTACTGGATTGTCAAATAAAACATATGTGGCTTTCAGGGAAGGAGTACAAAAAGTCTAGGTGACTCATCTCACTAACTTAATTTCCATCACCTTCTGTCCTCACCACAGTCTTGGTCCACATCAGGGGACTGTGCAGAAATAAGCTGCAAATGGACTGCAG